AATATTACACCATCATAAAAAAGCAGAAAACGAGTTTTTTTTTTTGATACAGCATTCTTATGTAATCCTTGGTCATCTCTTGTCTCTTTAGTATCCTTCAGTCTTGTTCAGTTCCTTAGTGCTTCCTCCTCTATGAACAGGGCTGGCTGTTTTGTAGATGCTTCTCAGCTTCAGTTTATTCAATGTTTCCTCAGGATGAGCTTCTCCTTTAACAGAACTGTGATAAAGTGATGCTGTTTTCTTCCACCGCACCTTCTCCATTCTCACTCCACTCTCACACCATTTCAGATTCTTGTTAGTTGACTAAGGTAGCATCCTGAGGCTTCTAGTTTGTTTTTTCCTTTGTGATTAATGAATAGTTAGTGAAGAAATACTTTGGGACTCTGTCAGTTACTCTATCCCTTGTCAAACGTTCAATTTACTTATGAATATCAGCATGGAATCTTGATTTCCTATGTTAGTGTAATCTCCTGTCATTATTTACTTTGGTCCTCAAATTCTCATAGATTTTTGTCAGTGGGAACCCCTTCTCACTGGCTTTTGTGTCCTGTTGGTATGTCCTGACTATTGGTTGAGCACTGCTTGTTTCCTTTTTCCCTATTTAGCAAGATCTATTTCCTTACTCCAGCCTGGGAAGATTACAGTTCTTTTTTTTCTTCATGCATTTTAAAATTATTATTATAAAGGTGATGTACAGAGGGGTTATAATTACATAAGTCAGATAAACAGTACATTTCTTTTTGAACAATGACACCCTTTCCCTTGCTGTCTCTTAGTTTTTCCCTCCTGTCTTCACCCACAAGTTGTATAGTTCATTTTCAACATAGTGTCTAGTGAGCACTACTGCTTCATTTGTTCGCCCTTTGAGCCATCATTTCTGTCCCCTCCCCCTTACTCTCCCAAGGACAGACAAATGAAAGAAAACAAAAATAGCAATGAAGAAAAAAAAATCTGTTTCCATTTCCTGGAGTGCATTTCAATAAATGTTATTTCATATGATCAGTTGCACATTGGTATTGTGCCTTTGTGTTCTTCTCCTAAGAATAGTATCCTTTGGTATCACCTTGTGTGAATGCCTAGAGACCTCTATAATTTACCATGTCTCAGTGTTTGTTTGTTTGTTTTACCACTCAGTGTGTTTACTTGTAGATTTATAGGTCCATTTTAGCTACCACAAATGAGGGAAACCCTGCAACCTATGTTTCTCTGGGTCTGGCTTAGTTCTTCAAGAATCTCTGGTTCATTTTAGTGGAGAATGGTGTTTAGAAACCAAGATCTGACACTTAGTGTGCTATTACAGTTGGGGCATCTCTACTCTGAAGCTTCTAAGTGGCTAAAGCTAGAGACTATACCTATATGTATAATCTATATGTACAACTGGTATTTGTATTTGTTTTATTTATCTATTCTTGTCACCTGTCTGTAGACAAGAATAGTCTACATAGTCACATAGTCACATAGTCACATCCAATTCCAGGTTGATGTCCCTGGATTCATCCTTGTTTTCTCTCTCCATATTTATAATTTGCACCTCTGATTATTAAGATCTTGGTTCCCACTGTGTATTTATTTGCTTAATCAATCTCGATCATCCCTTGTTTGTAACTAGTCTTCTTCTGCAGTCCTCTTCCCACATAGCTGCTTTTCTCACTCTGTTCAGGGTAGAGGTATACCCTCATTATGGATAGCTTTTACCATTGCTTAGATGCTTCCTGATCACCTTTCATGGACACTCTCAGTAAGCTCTGCTATCTCTACTAAACTGCCTTCTAGATGCTCCATTTGATCCTTTGGTGGTGTTAATATCATTGCTGGTCAAACTCTGTATTCTGTATACATGCTTTTTCCCAACATGAACTTTCTCCTTGACTGTCCTGAGTTCTGACACTCCCAGGTCACCCTCTGTGTCCATCATCCCTTTAATCCTGATTGATTTCAGACTTTTTTCTGCCAAGAAGTCCTTCTCCTTCTGGTGTACCAAAATAGTGTGCCAGATCACCACTCAGCAGGGCACCTCCATACCCACTTGGACTCTAACCCTGGGCTAAGTTGCCCCTCTGAGGAGGATTGTCTTCTACTACGAACCCCTTCCTCAATTTGGCCAATTTCAGCCACCCTAGTTACTGCCCCCCCCCCCCCATGCCTCTATTTTGCTCAGGTTCAGGCATTGCACTGAACTACTAGGAGGAAAAATGAAAGAACTTTTTAAAAATTTTGATGGATTTTCTATTTAACTGCTACTGACACTAAAGTGGAACCAATTCCTGTAGATATTTAACAGGTTAGTCATATACATATACATGCCCTAGTTGGATGGTTATTCTGACCACAAGTACAGTGGCACTGGTACTGAGCCTGCCATGCAGATGGTCCCTTGAGGTCAGAACATAAAATGATTATATGAGGGTGGTAAGTGAAGCAGGACCAACAGATTTGGGCCCTGTAGGTGGCCAGGGAGGAGCAGTGTAATTTTGTATTTGTTTCCTGTCTCTAGACTGGGAAGTATTGTTTACTCATTGCTGACAGACACACACAAAATGGAGTGGGGACTCCATGTCCTCACCTGCAGGCATGGTGCCAGCACTAATGAAGCAGGACCGGAAACGCCAGTGGACACAGCTCAGCTGTGAACCCTGGCCTCCCAACTGGGGAAGTAGGGGCTCTTTGAAGAAGACAGCTGGGGTTTAGTTTCAAAACTTTAACACTTCCATGGCTAGATATTCATCTGTCAGTGCACAGGGGACCACATGTGGGGAACAGTTGTATCCTGTAAGGCTAAAGGGAGAAAGAAATAGCTGTTTTCCAAGGTAACTACAACGATGCCCTTGCCAATGATTCTGCCTAGCACAATCTTCCCCTACTCCCCCTAAAAAAAGGATTGGTGAGGCAGATGCCAGGTATAAAGAGTGGGTCTGACCTGTGGTCTCTGCTATCTTGCCTTCCTTCAGCTCAGAGGTGAGAATGCCAAAGCTGGGCTTTTGTGCCCAGACCATGTTGGTCAGTTGAACCTACTTGTTCAAAGCTTGTCCTAAAGTCTTGGTACAACTAGCCTGCCCTCCCCCACACTCCCATCCTCCATCCTCTAGTTCTAAAACAAGCTCAGCTTTGCTTTCCTCTGCTCCAGGCCAGCCTTTCCTCTACTTCCCCCTTTTCTTCCTCCTGGTTTCCAATTGCTGGATTTAATTAGCGGTATTTTTTCCTTTGGGAAGAGAAGTATTTGTAATCCTTGCTTGAATTTGTTTACTAAGAGTCCTCTAATCTGTGCAGGACTTTTCTTCTGAGAGGGTTTCTTGATCTACTCTAATGGCTTTTAGCGCACTGAGGTTTATTAGCAAAAGAGGAAGGGAGCATGTTATCTCTTGCCTAATCCCTCTTGAATGTTTACATTGCTCTGCCAGAGTCAGTGCTGTGGAGAGTGGCAGCAGCCATCTACTTCAGAACAGTCCATATGCAGCTGCCAGAGCTGATGGAAACATATTAACTTAAGTGATAATACTGTCATAGAAGTGAAAAGTTAAGTTGCTTATCAGTATATTTTGATAAACTACTTAAATTTTACAGTAGCATGTGCTGGCTTCAGACAGCCGTCACTGATAGGAGTTTGTGCACTTTATCTGTCCTCTCTATTGCCTTACACTTCATTTATTAGCCTCAGCTGCCCAGCAGTAATCTGTACAGGGTGCTGATCCCCCTCTCGGGCAGCATGTCACATCTATGCTCTGCCTCAGGTCCAGTCCTATCAGTAACGACGCCATTCGCTCAGCAGGGCAGACATGAGCAGACACAGCAAGCACTTAGTATGACACTTCTCACGTGCCTATTAAGCAAAGCTTTGGAAAAAAAACCCTTACAGAGAATAGAACCATTTAATGCAAGTGGCAAACCTCTTGACTGGGGATACTTTTCAACAAGCTTTCTTTAAGTACTAAGGAGTCTTTGCTATTCCCTAGTCTTTATCTGCTTGTATTGTTCAATAAATGTTGAACACTGACTGTGTACTAGGCTCCCTTTTTTGGCAGTGGGAGGACAAAGGGAATAAAGTTGTATTCCTTCCTCTCTTTGCCAAGTCTGTTGAGAAGACAAGTACACCTTGAGTGCTGCGTTGTGTGGGAAGTATTATAACAGAAGTAGTAATGTGGCCAGGGCAGCCCAGAAAGGAAAATAAGGCAGATGAGGCCAAGACATGGAGGTATAAAGGGCTGTCAGGAGGATAAGCAGAAATTAAAAGGTCAGTGAGCAACAAGGGCTGAGATGTACTAGCTCAGCAGGCTTGAAAATACTTGGATGTTTCCATAGTGAGGCTGCCATGAGAGGAGCAGGGAGATGGTGAAGTAGAAAGGATAGCCAGAGAGGTGGTCAAGGACTTATAAACTACCCTAAGACGTATGGACAGCTGGATCTTGTAGTAATGAGGAACCAGACTTGCATTTTAGAAAGCCAATTCCAACAACCACGTGAAAAGGGTAGACTTCAGGCCAACATTGGGATTGAAGGGAGCAATGGTCAGGATTTGCTCGAGGCAGTGAGATGGACAATTGAACATTCATCCTGCAAGTTGGCTTAAAATAGGTAGGTCAAGCCTGTGAGGTACCTTGCAGATGCCTGCACTGGCATGGTATGTGTGGCTCTATGTGCCCAATCATGAGCTACTGAAGCAGGGCTTTGCTGAGGACCTGGGGGTTACTCGGAGCTGGTGCCTGATTGCAGATTTTGCTCTGAATTTCTTCTCTGTGAACCTAGTCTAGTCTGAGGTGTGGGAATAATTCATAAGGGACATTAAATCCACTGCCTCACACAAGGCATTTTTTAAATCCCAGAAATAATTAGCATTTCACCTATCTGAGTTTCCAGAACAATCTATGACAAAAGTCTTAGAATGTAGAAAAATAAAAACTGAAATGTATCAGTCTTGAAGTAGGTCGTGGTTCATGTTTTTAACCTGTATACTAATATTTTGTGTTTTTTTTTCTCTCCTTCTCCCCCCGCCTGCCTCCCCCCAGCTATCTTCCCTGGTTCGAGGTATTTTACAAACTACTTAACATCCTGGCAGATTATACGACAAAAAGACAGGTATTTGCATTTTCTGCTTTTAACAAGTAAACTTTAATTTTTATGACAACAAAAATAATACATATCTTATATTTCACCAAAATATTTATAGAAAGGTTAAGAAATTCAGAAGATATTGGGAATCACTTCTAATCTAATCTGCTTCATCTTCTTTCCTAAAATAAATATTGCTAGCATTTTGAGTTGTTTTGTTACTAATTTTTTTTAAGTTAATGAAATAATATATAAAGCTGGACACCAGTGTTTCATGCCTGTAACCTTAGCCAGCCTAGGCAGAAAAAGTCTGTGAGACTCTTTTTCTCCAGTTTACCAGAAAACCAGAAGTGGAGCTGTGACTTAAGTGGTAGGCACTTAGCCTACCACTGGATAGCATCCAGGCCGTCAGTTTAATCCCCACAACTGACAAAAAAGAAAGAAAAATAAAAAAAGTACTAATGTATGGCTTTTATAATATAGAGAGCTATAATCATAATATTAGTTGTAATATTGTCTAATATTCCTAAGCAGCCCTGAAAATTCATGGCATGCATTAACTAATAATATTGCTGAGACACAAATTTGAATTGTACATGTCATGCTGTAAGTCTGAGGTTTGCAAGCAACATACTTGACTGGAAAGTTAAGAGTGTTACTACCTAGTGGCCCAATTCCGATTTTGAGAACACATTGTGGTGCTTTTACAATATTTGTAATGGTCTGAAAAGTACTACTTCACCTGTACCTTGCTGTACTTTTGGAAGAAATAGTGTACTAAGTTCAGTTTCATGCATGTCAAAGATTAATGTGATATGTATTTAGACTTTTGTGTTCTATGTATTCAATACCATTGTAACAGAATCATTTCTCCACACTACTAAAAATACTGTAAAGCCAGTTGCTGGTGGCTCATGACTGTAATCCTACCTACTCAGGAGACTGATATCTGAGGATCGTGATTTGAAGCTGAAGGAAGCTGAAACTCTTATCTTCAATTGAGCACCAAAAATCCCATTATCGGATTTGTGGCTCAGGTGGTAGAGTGCTAGCCTTGAGCAAAAAAGCTCAGGGACAGTGTCCAGGTCCTGAGTTCAAGCTCAAAGGCCAGCACAAAAAATAAATAAGTAAAATACTATAAATAACATTCATGGCAGTATAATAATTATGCTTTGATGTGCTTGGGTTACAAATACTTTCACCAGTATTATTTGCTGGATTTACTAAGTTAAAAAAGCATTGTCTTAATTTTATTTCTTTGATTATAAATTAATTGACTATCCATGTATGTAACTAATTTTTAAAATAATTTGCTTGTTTTTAAAGTTGTTATTACACACTATTCACAAATATCTTATCAGTTTTTTTTTTTTATCCAACTCCCTTTTTTATTCCTTGGCAAATAACATTTTGACATAGCTGAGTTTGCTAGAACACAATTTAGGAAATAGTATTTCAAAGAAAAGGTGGAAATTGTATGTATAAATATATAAATCTTTTCTTTAAGTGGATTTTTTTTTTTTTACTGACAAACATTCCAGAGGTCATGTGAAAGGAAAGAATAACTAATAAAAATGGCTCTTTCGATCACTATACTCACTCTTCAAAGAAGCTTAGGCATCAGGAAATCTGTCATAAAAGTTGTTGGAAACTATTTCTAACAACTTGTTTTTGGAGCCCAGGACTCTGTATTAACTTTTTTTCTGATTAAAGGAATAGGTCAAGAGGAGGCCAGATGGTGACTTATGTAGAATTGGTGCACCTTTCCTTTGGATCATTGCCCTAGCAATGCCTCTGTCTCATAGCATGCTAGAGCCTGTGATCAGAAATACAGCTTAGCTGGTTAGAACCTATTCCTTCTGAATCCATGACACTGTACTTTCTTCTGGTTAGAGGAATGATGACACCAAAGGTAGAAAATCTACCTAAAACTGGCTTCTTTGCAAGTTGTTTTGATCACCAGCATAGGACAGTCGAGGCCCCAAACAGAATTCCTGCTCTCTAAAAAGAACAAAATAAAAAGACCATAAAATACCCCCAAACTAAAAACCTTTCATCTAAAAGTCATTGGGAAGGTTGGGCAAGGTAGATTTCTCTTTGTGTAACAATGTGTAACAATGACAGCTCAACAAGGGGCATTGGAGCCTGGAGTAGGGGACTATTTGACTCCTACCCCAGCATGTTTATGAGATGTTGAATGGAGTAAGGCAGGCATCTGTGTGAGGGATGGCAGGGTGAGGAGGGTTTCTAAACTGGGCAGCACCCTACTCATGGTATAAGCCTGAGGAAGGTTGAGAATTTACACATGGGAGAGTGAGGGTAGTGACTATCTAAGACTGTCAGAACTCAAGTGGGATCTGGAGAGATCCAAACACTAAGAAGGCAGCAGCAGTGTCCTTGAGCTGGGTTGCTGGGGCCTGAGAGAAAGACACTGTGAGGGGTGGACAGTGAAGGTCCAGTTTTCTGTGTCAGTGTCAGGGAGGGCAAGATAGGCATCTGGGTGGGAAGAAGACGGAGGCAGCAATAGGACAAAGTTTTTATATGAAAATAAGTAACAGTTTTCACTTTGTAAAATGTAATCACAGATACATAAAGGGATGAGTTCTATGTTATATTAAATTTTAAGCAATCAGTGTGAACCCAAGGTTTTCAATATGTGAAGATATAGAGAAATAGAAATGTTAAGAGTTGATTTGGGCCAGGCACTGGTGGCTCACGCCTGTAATCCTAGCTACTCAGGAGGCTGAGATCTGAGGATCTCGGTTCAAAGCCAGCCCGGGCAGGAGAGACCGTGAGACTCCTATCTCCAATAAACCACCAGAAAACCAGAAGTGGCACTGTAGCTCAAGTGGTAGAGCGCTCGCCTTGAGCTGAAGAGCTGAGGGATAGCGCCCAGAGTTCAAGCCCCACGACTGACCAAAAAAAAAAAAAAAGAGTTGATTTGGGATTAGTGTGTGTGTAATATATTCCCTGGTTCTGTCCACTGAGAAGGCTTGGCATCAGCAATTGTAAGAACCAGTAAACACACCTGGTATTCAGATTTTAGTTTGTAAATACTACTTACTCCTCATGAGTAGTTATCGGGCTACCTGTGGAAATACTTGATTCCAGGACTGGTCAGAGAGTGTGTAAGAGGAGCCTGAGATAATTTTTGCACCAAAAATTGAGGAAATGTTTAGAGTATGATGAGAACATATCATTAAGTCACAAAAGTGATATTGAAATGCCAAGAGGTTCCGACCGGTGTTCCCTACAAGCATCAAGACAAATAATGATAGCAGTATTTTATCCCACTGGATAAGCTGGAAACCTTGTATCTGTGGTAATTGAAATAAGTAAATGGATAAACTGAAAGCTTGGATGGTATGTTTACTTAAAGTCTCACTCTATGGAATCCTGTTGTTTTTAGTTTGGTTTGTTTTTCCTTTTCTGGTCCTGGAGCCTGAGCTCTGGGGCCTGGGCACTGTTCCTGAGCGTCTTTTGCTCAAGGCTTGCATTCTATTGCTTGAATCACAGTGCCACTTCTGGCTTTGTCTGAGTACTTTATTGGAGATAAGATGGACTGGACTTTCCTGCCTGGGGAGGTGTGAGCCACCAGCACCTAGCTAGAATACTTTTAAATTAAATATTTTAAATACAAAATAATGTCACAATAGTGACATTAGATCAGTTATTCAAGTGATGAAAGCCAACATTGTCAATAAACAAACAAATGGTAATTTGTATCATGAGGAAACAAGACAGTTGAGAATCATTCTACAAAATGTGGTAGTCTCCTTGTGAAAGTCAAACAGATTTAAGAAAGACAGATGAGCTGTTCTAGATGGAAAAAAACTAAAGAGTCATCATTACTAAAGGCAGTAAGTGATTGTGAGCTAGATTGAGTGCTGTAAGGATATCAGTAACACAGCTGGCAAAATGTGATGGGATGTGAGGATTAGATGGTAATACCGAACCAAGTTTAATTTCCTGTTGTATGGGAGAAAGTCCTTATTTGGATGATGGGCATGCTATCAGGAAACTTGAAGTATCAGGAAATGAAATGGGTTGTTTGTTTGTTGTTCCTCCAACTCTGGTAAATTTGAGTCTGTTTCAAAGCAAAACTAAAACACACTGTAGCCTTAGTACAGAGGCTCAATCCTGTAATACAAGCTATGTGGAGTGAGGGCAGGTGTTCATTCAGGATCAGCCTAGACAAAAAGAAGTTCTTGAGACTTTATCTCAACCAGTGGCTGGACACAGTGGTGCACACCTTTTACCCAAGAACAAGGAAGCACAATAGCTAGGTCAAATGGCATACATCTGCCTATCATCCCCAGCAACATGAGGAATCACAAGGAGGAAAATTGCAGTCCAGACTAGCCCAGTATAAATAATCAGTGCCAAAAGGAACTAGAGATATGGCCCAAGTGGTAGAACACCTGCCTAGCAAGTAGTATGCCATGAGTTTAACCCCCAGTACCAACAAACAAAAATGGGGAAAAAAAATTCAACTATGCACACATAGCACACATCCATAGCTCATGTATTCTCTGTGAGAAATTGGTTGTAAGAGTTCAGATTGAAATTAGCTTATAGTCAGGACTCTTCTTTTTCCTGCCAAGCTCACTGCCAAAGGCAGAGGATTGTGAGCGCAGACTCAACAATCCTGTGTTTAACCTCAGGCCATGTAACTTACTGTCTAATGTGGGACAGTTGCTTCAACTTTTAGAGCTTTAGCCTTCACATCTGTAAAGTGGGATAGTTGGAAGGATCAGACAGTTAACAAGTAGATACCAGTTAAATTTTTTACTATTAGCACAAAGAATTGTATGGAGGGGTAGGAGAAATAAATGATTTTTGGATCATTTGTGAGCAGTGTTCTTTTGAACATTTTAAAGGTAAATCTGTATGCCATTCTGTTGCTCAGTTTGGCTAATTAAAATGCACAGCCACCATCATATATTGCATGCTGCTGTACTTAGTTCATTTCTAACTTTCCATAATTGGAAGCTGCCATGTGTATACCCAGTGAACACACAATAAAATTAATTGAGGGTAATGATGATCAAGACAAGATCCACAGTGTCATCGTTATTTCTCCCAACCACCCCCGCCTGGGAGCTCAAATTGTTTGCATTTGAAAGTTGTTGCTATGGAGTTAAGGGGATAGATTTACTGAGAGCTTATGGTATATGATCCATAAAAGGCGGTCAATGGTAGGTGTCTCAGTGAGTAGAAAATGTCAAGCTAGATGTGGGAGGATCAACTTGGCGCTTAGTTTTGAGCCATATGCAATGTCTTTGGTCCAACCTTACTTGATTATCAAACCTACTCCTGTGCTGGGGCCAGCATCTCCCAACCCTCTCTGTCATGTGGGGGTTCCCAACTCACCCTGTAGGTGAACAGCCTTTTGTTATTTAGGCCTTTTATTTCTTTCAGGAAAGTCAGTGGAATGAACTTCTCGAAACTCTGCACAGACTTCCCATCCCCGACCCAGGCGTGTCTGTTCATCTCAGTGTGGTAAGTAGGACAAAATAGTAGCTACCCTGTAGAAAGCATTTTGTTATGAACAGTCATAGGGAGCTGGCAAAGAGGAAGGTCTTTTGTCATTCTTACCCTTCCCCCACTCCTATCCTGAATAGTCTGAGATCTTACTGACTGATGGCAGACCTCAGAGTTTTCCTTTTCTTTCTGAGATTCCATGGGGAGCAGATAGTTTCTAAATGTCCCAGGTTAGTTTCTGGCCATCATCCTATCACGAGCATCTTGATCACAGATGCTGGGCTGGAATAGGATGACTGCACCCTTCCTGCCCTTGTCCTGGGCTTTCTGTCTCACCTTTTGCCCCTACCCCCTCCCAGCACTACTTCTTGTCTCTCACTGATTGAGTTCATTCTGTACCCTCAGTTTTCAGCATCGTCTCTCCTATTTGCCAGGTAACCTGTTTATACCCTTCAGAATCAATTCTGATTCTATTTGTAGAGAAATCCTCCCTTGTGCATTCAGGTTGAGCTTGGCCATTTTCCTTTGCTCCAAGCATTTCATATACTTCACAGGACTTAGTTCCACTGTGATGGAATAATCTATTTTTTGGTCTTAACTGAACTGTACATCCCTTGCAGATTAGAGGAGAATGCTTAACATAGTTCCTGGCATTCAATAGTGATGGTTTCTGAGGTTTTTGCTCTATGTCAGGTGTTTTGTAGTGTGCTAAAGCAGAAAATTCTCCACATAACCTGTTGAGAAATTTTGATCTGATTTGTCTGTTTGCCAATCATCTGTGTGACATCAAGACCTTTAGCCTTATTGACTTCATTTTCCCCATCTGTCAGATGAGGAATCAGAGTAGGTATAAAGGATGTTTTCCATAATTCATTTGCTAGAATTCTATTAATTCCTTGGGTTGAACCCTGTCACTATCTTTATCAGAATTCCAGGTGGACACCCTTTGGCCTAGTATCAATTATTATCCAGAAGTTCTTTCCTCTATGTGGTGAGTCCTGACCTGACTGTTCACAAAGTTTTCTCTTCCAAAATTTTCTCTGTCATTAGAGCCTCACATAATGTTGGCATTGAATGATTAGGAAGATATCCACCTCTCTAGGGAAATTAATATTTCTTATCGATATTTTCAGAATGATGATAAAATTGAATGCCATCTTTACAAATAACTAATAATAGAGCTGCTACTTAAGTTTATAAATTATACTACGTATCTCTGATATACAAAACAGTTTTACAAAATGAATATTAACAGTTTAATTTCATAGCTGTCAGATTTACAAAGGAAAAACTACTTGCCATTCCAAAGTTTTGTGGCTAACAAATAGTAAAGTTTGAGTTTTTAACAGCTACTTTAGAATGTGTGTTCTTTCTATTATTCCATAGATGTTGAAAGGAAAGGAAGTTTTAAAAAAGGAAAGAAAGGAAAAGAGAAGGAGAAGGAAGGGATATACGGAGGGAGGGAATTCCTTAGGAAGTAAAGAAAGCTTTGTACAAAAATTCTCATGGCAAAACACAGTCTAGGAAAAAACCAGTGTGAGCTTTAGACCTGCCCCAGTCATCCCTAAGGCTAAACAGATCTGTCTTTGTCTCTGTCCCTTTTCCTAAACAGTTTGATCTCACTGCTTCAGCCTGTAATGCCATCCGACAGGTAGCTGTAGAGAAGCCCAGCTGGGTTGCCAGCTGCTGGGGAAGAAGGACCACTCCTTCCCTGAATGGCTACACCAGCAGCATGCCACCAGGCCCCAAGGACAAGCCAGCTCAGGGCTGGAGGGACTGTTGGGTGTGCAGCTGTTTCATGCCAGTGGATTCTAGGAATGCTTGTGACCTCCCTTGGTCCCCAGCATTTCATGGCCAGTGGAGCAAGACAAAATCTCAAAGGACAGCCCGAGGACTACTTGATTTTGGAATTGCATTGGCTTACTATTTACAATCAATTGCATCTGGAAAGACAGATTTCTCTTTTTCCTCATCACTAGAAATTCATCTCCCCAAATTGCTTTTCTGATTTTGAAGGGCTAATCACATCTATTATATAAATCCTAAAATATTAATAAGCCATCAGTGTTGGACTTCTTATTCTTTAGTTATAAGAGAATATTTCCCTGTGAATGGTTGAGAAAAGTGGAAATGCATAAAAGCAGTTGAGAACAATAATTTCATATTAAATTACAAATCAAATTCAGATTCTATGCCACTAAATCAAGTTGCCTGAGTTCACCGAGGTACTTAGTGGCAAGTTCTAGGGGGAGCTTTCCCTCTCATTGCACCAGGCTGCTACTTAGTGATATCATAATTTAATGGACATCTGGTCCTGAAATTATAACCGTTTGGTATAGAAAGATACCATTTGGTATACATCTCATGCAGTCAAATTTCAGCTTTGCGTTTTACTTTTCCTATTTTACTTCTCATTGTTAGTTGAACTGTTTATTATCTAGTTTCCCTGATGCATCATCTACTGTGACACTTTTAAGTGCTATTGTATTATAGATACACAGACTTTAGAAATATACATTGCCGTAGATTTTTCTTAAAATCTTTATTGGTAAGTTTTTACTTTTAATTCAAATTCCATTACTACTTTACATATGAAAAACACATAGATAATATTCTGTTATTGGAGAAAGGGCATAGTTCTACTTATATAGACCTGGTTTCAGTTTCATTTCTGCCACATGTGTGACCTTAATATATCCTTTTGTAACATGGAGATCATATCTACCTAAATGTATTATGTAGATTAGAGATTACAGTATTTATAAAGTACCCGATATAAAGTTTTTCCATATAAAAGTTGTTCAGTAAATGACTATTGGATATTAGGCAAGTAGCTTACATAATTGTTATTATTGTCATTCTTACAATTGTCTAATAGGCCTTTCATTTTAGTAAGCCACTACAATTCATTCTTCTAGAGACCTACTTGTGCAATTAACCAGGAATAGGGGGCGGGGAAGAGCTTCCTGAAATGTCACTTGGGGGTCCAGGTTTGAACTTAGGCCATGGCTAAGCTGAATCTCTCTGCATTTGACCTTTCCTGGCCTTTCACAATCCCACCTTTAATTGGTCAGCACTGAGCTTTTTCCATCCTGCTTACCATTGTCCTCTGAGTCTTTAGTAGCAGCAGGGGAGGTGTCATCTGTTCAGTCCATTGTCATTTAACTCAGGAACACATGCTTGCTGTGTACATGGAGTTCCCTCATTGGAAGTCTTTGAAGAGGTCAGTTTTTCCACCATTCTTGCCAATTCCTGGGATTCCTGGAAATCCCACTGGTAGTAGACTGACTCTCCATTGCCAGCCATCCACAGTAGCCTCAGTGTAATGGGCCTTCAGCTGGAGCTGTCTTTAACATCACCAGGTCATATTGTGGCCAGTCTATAGATGGATATAATCTCATTTGTTGAAAAGAAATGATAGCTTCAGATGGTAATATCATTGCAGTGTGTCCCTACAGGTCACTTGTCCTGTCCAACAATAAATTATGCAACCTGTGGCTTTCATGTGTTCAGAAACTCTCAAATATCACATGGGAAATTGACTTTTAAACTCTGAGTTCTTCTTATATAAATACAAAATGGCACTAACTACCAAACTGATGATGTAATTCATCTGGTTTAATCTGACACTACTCTTAAGAAAATATTCCATGGGTACATCCTCAGAGTCAGGAAGTATCTTAAGACCATTTACCTAAATTCTGAGTTATGTCCTTGTTATACATTCTAGGAAAAAATAAATAAAAAATACATATGTATATAGAGCGCTTTTGCTTTTCTTTTCCAGCATTCTTACTTTACGGTGCCTGACACCCGAGAGCTTCCTAGCATACCTGAGAATGTGAGTAACGGGGAAGAAAATCGGAAACTTTCATTCTTTGTTCACTACTTATTTCTTAAATGTAAGGGTATTTTACAATGTAATAATATACATTTAGTTTTTTTAAAGGGCTGAATTGTAACAGCATGTAAGAAGAAAAATGTATTATGAAAGTAAAAACAGATTGAAAATATTTGCAAAGTATAGAAAGTAAAGACAAGGACTGATGTTATTCATACTTACCTAAAATAATCTCCTAACATTGCTAATGTCCTTTTCTAATCTTTATAGAACATACTTTATACATAGTTAAAAGCACCTATTAGATAAACAGCTTTAATACTTTCATTCCTATGAATCATTGTTGGTCACTGAATAATATTCCATTTGCTCTGTAGTTTCTTTAGGCATTCTCTTTCTGCTATCTGTAAGTTAATACAGTTCTATATAAAGACATTTCTGTGTGATGATTTCTTTGTTCAGGTAGATTTATTCAAGTAGAACTATACACTTCTACTGTTTCTATGTCTCTGTTCACTTTTCAGAACAAAACAATTAGTTGGTGAAGTATGAGTAACCCCATCCTTACCTCTTAAGGTCCTAATGTCTGAGACAGCAGAAAGCTCATGTTTGTCCTCCAAACAAAATGAATGACATGTCTAGCCTTATGACAAATTCCCACAATATTATGCTCTTATAAATAGTAGAATATGAAATTAAACATAGAATGGCTACTACTGAGGTACTTGGTACTTTTTACATGGTGGTAAAATATGCAAAACATAGAATTAACCATTTTAACTACTATTAAATGTATACTTCAGTAGATTTAAGTACAGTCATATTGTGTAGTCAATAAACAGAATACTTTTATCCTGCATAACTGAAGCGTTGTACCTGGTGAGCAACAACAGCCCATTTGCCCTCTCCCACTGGCCTATAAAAACCATCATTCTTTCTGTAACTACTTTTTTTTTTTGACAGTACTAGGGATTGAACTCAAGAGACCTATGCATGCTTGGCAGTGCTGGACCACTCGTACCATGCTGCTAGGACCCTGGTTGTACATATAGTTCCATTTATATGAGACAGTTAAGTGGAATTGTATAGTATTTGTCCTTTAGTGTCCAGCTTATTAGCATAATGTCTTAGGGGCTAGTAGTTCATGCCTGTAGTCCTAGCTACTCCTAGTGCTAGGATATAGAATGCCATGTTTTAAAGCTATCAGAAAAGCCCATAAGACTTCATTTCCAAAATAATTTTTAGAAAGTTAGGCTAGAAGCATAGCTCAAATTGTAGAGCACCAGCTGGGCAAGCAAAGCAACCTGCAAACATGAGATTCTGAATTAAAACCTCAGTTCCTCCCCTTGCCCCATATGAACAAAAAATATTCATATGGTATAGCACAAATCAGATTATCCTTCCTTCTTCTTCTTCTTCTTTTTTTTTTTTTTGGGGTCCAGTCGTGGGGTCTGAACTCTGGGCCTGGGCGCTGTCCCTTAGCTCTTCAGCTCAAGGTTAGCGCTCAACCACTTGAACCACAGCATCACTTCTGTTTTTTTTCTTTTTGCTTATGTGGTGCTGAGGAATCGAACCCAGGGCCTCATGTATACAAGGCAAGCGCTCTACCACTGAGCCACCTTCCCAGCCCCTATTCTTCCTTCTTAAGGATGAATAATACTCCATTGTATTTATACAACAATTAGCTTATCTGTTCATCCATGGTTAAGTCTTCACTTGTCATTCTTTTAAGTATATATTTGATTGTTTAAGTGTTGTTTGTAGAGCAGACAGATTAGAAATGTCAACTAATCAAATATAATAATGAGATTAGGCTGTAGTGCTGTGATTAGATCACTGAAGTTGTCAAGCATATGTATGATTATTTTTTTATTTGATGAGATTGTGGTAGAAATATTGCTTTATTTATTTATTTTGGCATTAGATAATAAGAAATTCAGACCAGAGTTTATATTGCAACAACAATAGCTAATGTTTATTGGGCTATACTACTTGTCAGTCAATATAATCAGTGCATTTCATCATTTACTATTCTTAACATGCTTATGTTATATGAGGAAATAGAAGCTCTGAGATAAGTGATGCATTCAAGGTTCTACAACAAAAAAGTGGTAGAATTAGAATTCAAACTTAACTCGTCAGTTTTCAAGACTGCCTTTTACATGCTATGCTATTATACTTGGAGCACATGATTTTTTTCCTTTCATCCCTCAAAAAATTCCATTGATATAAAAACATGTAAAATTAAGAAGAAAAATGTTCCTGCCATGGCAGAAGTTACTAGAAAACTAGAAAACTTGGGAATTCTGCATTATTAAAATGATGATCACTAATACATAGCCAATTCAGTATGGACTTAGAAACCCAAAAGGAATGGAAAAAAAGTACTCCAGGAAGAGTAGAAACAGGGGCTTACAGATAGTCCAAGACCAACAGCAAAAGGCTATCAAAGATGATTTTGAAAAAGGAAAGGTGGAGAAATGCAATCATAATATTCAATATATACATGTGAAAATGGAACTAGGAAAATTGAGGGGATAGGGAGAATTATAATTGTAGTCATACACTGACATGTTGAATTGAAACCCCTTTGTACAACATGTATATCTCTATATACAATATGCATATTAAATATATATGATAATTTCCAAATGTCATGAAATATTTATAAAAATCTGATTATATGCTAAATTGCTCTGAACATTTCAAGCTTAAACAAGATACAACTTTTATTGAAGTGATATAAAACTAGAAATTAATAATCAGGTTTAAAAAAATATTCATGTACTTGAAATAGCATTTGAATCAAAGAGGATAAAAACTTGAAATTCGATATTATTTAAAAATCATGACAATAAAAACACTAACAAAGGATGTGGACACAAATGTATTCCAGGAAAACTCATAGCTTTGAATGAACTTATGAAAACAAGTTTCAGTTAAAGAAACTAGAAAAAGAACCAGAAAAAAAAATAAAACTAAACTCTAGCCCCAATGATATTTTTGTTTAATGCTATTTTATTCTTATGAAAATACTATATAGTAATAGTTTATTTGTTTTTAACAAAGGAAAAAACCTTTGCTTCCATTTCCTAGAGTTCATTTCAGTAATTTTTTAAAAATTATTACCATAAAGGTGATGTACAGAGGGGTTACAGTTTCATAATTCAGGTAAAACATACATTTTTTTTGCACAATATCATCCCTCCTCTCACTCTTCTCCATTTTCCCTTCCCATCTCTACTCAAAATTGTGTGGTTTATTTTCAACATTATGTCTAGTGAATAACACTTGCATTTTTTTACCCTTTATCCCTCCATTTCTGTGTCATTCCCCCCCCCCCCCCCATCCTCCCAAAGACAAATAAGAAAACAACAAAAATAGCAACAAAGAAAAAGACCTCTTGTTTTCATTTCCTGGAGTTAATTTTGATAAATATTATTTTATATGATTAGATGCACATAAGTGTTACACCTTTGTGTTCTTCTGAGGGTATCCTCTTTTGGTCTCACTGTGTGTGAATGTCTGAAGTCCTGTATTAGGTCTAGCTTCCACATGTGAAAGAAAACATATGCTGTTCGTCTTTCAGAGCTTAGATCAATAGCTTTAAAAATCATGTAGTACCACACTATAACACAAAAACTTGCAATTTCCAAGTTCTCTATACTTTTTACTCCTCAGAGATAGTTACTTTTACATTTTAACAGTTATAGTTCCCTTTATATTTTTGACACATTTTGATTGCTAAATCTTCATTTTTTTCTGTATTACCTGTTGACTTCAATATCAAAGATGAAAGTTTTTAAGTCTTTTATTTTCCATGAGCTTCCCTCTTAGAAATATGCATGTAAGCCGGTTACTGGTGGCTCATGCCTGTAATTCTAGCAAATCAGGAAGCTGAGATCTGAGGATCACAGTGCAAAGCAGGAAAGTTCATGAGATGCTTACCTCCAATAAACCACCAGAAAACTGGAAGTGGTGTTGTGGCTTAAGTGGTAGAGTGTTAGCCTTGAGCTGAAGAGCTGAGGGACAGTGTCCAGGCCCAGAGTTCAAGCCCCATGACCAACCAAAAAAAAGAAAAAAGAAATATGTATATAAAATAACTTTTCTTATTCATCTATTTCTGTCATTCTCCATCTAGCTTTAGGGAAACCCTTATATTAAATCAAGTTAATATTTGGATTTTAGAGAATGTACATCCTAATGAATTCATTTAATGAATATACATTTCCTTTCAATTAAAGTTTTAATTAATATACATTACTTGTACAAGGAGGTTGACATTTGTAACAATGTGAGGGGGTTGCATTTAATTGTGACATTTTTATATATGTATATGATGTAGTCCATCAACCTTATCTTGCTCTATTTCTCTCCTTTATTCCCCCCTCCCTTCATTAAAGAATTTTAACAATTTTCATTGTTCTGTTTTTTTTTAATTTAATTTAATTTTTTTTTGTGAACATACTGTACAGAGGGGTTACAATTACATGGGCAGGATAATGCGTACATTTCTTATCAAGCATTGCAGCCTCCTTCTTTGTTTACCCTTCATATTCTGTTCTGTTTTTATATATGTATATTTTCTCTTATTTACCCTCTCCATTCACCTCTCACTGATCCCCACCATTCAACAGAGCCTGTTTAACTTTTGTCGTTCCTCACACCCATTTTTTTTAGTGAGTATCACATGGTTTCACCATGGTATTTTGCATGTGCATAAGTTATATTTTGATTAGAATTAAACATAAAGCTAGGGCACTGGTGGCTCATGTCTGTAATCCTAGCTACTTAGGAGGATGAGATCTGAGGACTGCAATTTGAAGCCCATCTGTGCAGTAAAATTCATGTGACTTTTATTTCTAACCATCCAAAATAAGTCAGAAGTAGAGCTGTGGCTCCAGTGATAAATTGGTAATCTTGAGCCAAAAAGCTCAGGTACAGTGCCCAGGGCCTGAATTTAAGCCCAGAGTCAGCACAAATAAATTAAAAATATAATT